CTACTTGGTAGCTGATTAAGTACAGCAAGGGTCCCCAACCTGTGGGCCGCAGCCCAGTAGTGGGCCATGGTCTGTTGGCCACCGGGCTGTGGGAGAGGCTGGCCAGTGTGCACACGTATGCGTGCACACCCCCTCACTTGTGCTAGCGCTGCGCCCACGGGGCACAAAAATGGGACGCTGCCGCGCCTCGGGATGTGAAAATGGGCCGCCGCCACGCTACAAGGTGCAAAAATGGATGCCGCCATGCTGCGGGGTGCAAAAATGGGCCTCCGTCATGCTGCAAGGCTTAAAATGGATGCCGCCGGCAGAAACGGGCCACTGCCACGCCACGGGGCACAAAGACGGGCTGCCGCTGCTCTCCAAGGCACAAAAACAATCACCGCCACACCACAGGGCATAGAAACAAGGTGCTGCGCCACGCAAGAGCAGGGCAGGGCTAGCAAGTATCACACGGGTTCTAGCCCTGCCCCGTTTGTGGCGTGCGAGTGCACGCGCACGCATGTAAAATGCTTCCCCCTCCCTTTTCCTCCGGTCCGCCAACTGACAAAGGTCCTTGACTTACAACAGTTCATTTAGTAACCGTTTAAGTTACAACAACACTGAAAAGAGTGACTTATGACCGTTTTTCACACCTATGACCGTTGCAGCATCAAAATTTGGATGCTTGGCAACTGACTCATATTTATGAAGTTTGCGGTGTCCCAGGACCGTGTGATCCCCTTTTGCGACCTTCTGGCAAGCAAAGTCAATGGGGGAGCCAGTTTCACTTAACAACTGTGGCAAGGTAAGTTGTAAAATGGGGCAAAACTCAGGAAACAAAATGTCTCACTTAGCAACAGGAATTTTTGGCTCAGTTGTGGTCGTAGGTCGAGGACTACCTGTATTTAGAGTTTTGAAAAATGCCCGCCGTACTTAGAAAGAAGAATTGCTAAAGATCCCTGTAAACAGCACAAAAGAAATGAATCCCGCTGGGCTACCCAATGCACCAAGCAACGTGGCAAAATGACTGTACTCCCTCCATGAGACCGATCTGAAATGCTCTTCCTCTCAAAAATGCACTTTGAAAACAATTTCCCTTTTATCAGCTTGAAAGAGAAGCCTTGGGGGAAAAATAAGATACAAGAGAATGCCTCAGCTCCTCTCCAAATTTAGTCAAGCTTGAGTAGATGATCATCTGGTAGGAACATTGGAACTGGGTCATTCAGCGTAAAGCAGGGGTCTCCAACCTTCCCAGCTTTGTGGACTGGCGGGGGTGGGGAGGTGAGAGAAGATGGTTCTGTTCAAGCAGCGGGTGCAGAAATGGAGCATCAATCACCAGCGCAAGACAAATCTGGGAGCCCTCCAAATGAGTGGACTTCAAGTCCCAGAATTCTCAGCAATTCTCAGTTGAGGAATTCTGAGAGTTCCAAGTCCATATATCTTGGAGGGGGCCAACATGGCGTAAGATATGGGAAGGCAACTGCCAAAATTGAACAGAAGGACCGTCAACATTCCAATTTAACCCCCGAAGGGCAAAAGAGGTACATTAAAAACCTCAGTGCAAAATTGCTGTGGCAAACTTCATAGAGGTTCCATAGTTTGGACACATTCACTCTAGAGATCAGTGTTTTTCAAACTTGGCAACTTTTAAGATGTGTGGGCTTCAACCCCTAGATTAATTTCCCACCCGGTAAGTTGGCTAGAGAATTCTGGGAATTAAAAGTTCACATACCTTAAAAGTTGCCAGTTTGAAAAACACTGCTCTAGACATTCCCCAAAGACTAGAAGAAAGAAAAATAAAGCGACAAAACAAAACAAAAAATAATAGTTCTAGTCCTGTTTATTTCTCTGAGACTAGAGCAGGGGTAGGCAACCTTGGCTCTTTTATGACTCGTGGACTTCAACTCCCAGAATTGAAGTCCAGCTATGCTGGCTCAGGAATTCTGGGAGTTGAAGTCCACAAGTCATAAAAGAGCCAAGGTTGCCTACCCCTGGACTAGAGGTACATATCCCCTTCAGCCTTCTGAAAAAAGCAATTAGTAATCTGCCAGAATTTGAAAGGCACCCCCAACTCCAAATAAGGGATGGTGGACCCTGTACGGGTAGCATCTGGCTAGCTACAGATCCCTAGTGAGACTCCTGGGCATTTCACTGTTAGAAATAAAGGGATGGGTGTGCACAGGTGGTCCTTGACTTACAACCATTTATTTAGTGACTGTTCAAAGTTGCAACAGCACTGCAAAAAAGTGACTTATATCCAGTCCCCACACAACCATCATAGCATCCCCACAGTCATGTCATGAAAATGTGGGTGTTTGGCAACAGACATGTATTTACGACATTTGTAGCATCCCAGGGTTTCCAATCTTCCCAGCCACCTTCCAACAAGCAAAGTCAATGGGGAAAGCCTGGTTTTCTGAACAAACACATGATTCACTGAATAACCGCAGTCATTTGCTTAACACCCGGGGTGAAAAAAGGTCATAAACTCGGATGTGACTCACTTAACGATTGCCTTGCTTGGCAACCGAAATGGTAGACTCAGTTGTGGTCATAAGTTGAGTACTACTGTGTCTTTACTCTCTGAGTATTAATACACATATTTTCAAATACAAATTTCTTGGCTAGATTAATCGAAATAAAAGCCAAGTTAACAAAACACAATTCCTTCTCATCCTCAGACTCGCCCAAGCAAATAAACCAAGGTATGTATGGTTTTATAATAATAATAATAATAATAATAATAATAATAATAATAATAATAATAATAATAATAATAATAATAATAGTAAAGTTGGAAGTGACGTTAGAGGTCATCTAGTCCAACCCCCTGCTTAGGCAGGAAACCCTATACCATTTCAGACAAATGGCTGTCCAGTCTCTTCTTGAAAACTTCCAGTGTTGGAGCATTCACTGCTTCTGGAGGCAGGTTGTTCCACTGGTTAATTGTTATATTATGTTATATTATTGTTATATAATGGCCTGGTTCACACCTCATATTAGATTCCCACAATATGCTGCATCACAAAGAACCCAACACCATCTTGGAGAGATTCAAGTTTAAACATGGGTATTTCTTGATAATCATTGAAAGTATGAGAGAATGCAGGGACACAAACACTTTGGGGAAGTACTTTGTTAGCTTTCTCTCCTGCACTTAATTTTTTTTTTTTTAAAGCTGTCATTAAGAAAGGTTGGTCCTACTATTCCGAGGTCAACTTTCTGAAGAAGATAAGTCTGCAGCCTTTTCACCCCCTCTGGAGCAGGAATAAAGTTTTCCAAAACAAAGCATCTCTTACCCAATCTAAAAAGACACAAAAAGAAAGAAGGGAGAAAAAGTGAGTCACAATCATGTATCATTCATGTTAACGTACAAGAATCACCTTATATTGGAGTCACACAATTAAATCCTCTGACTCAGCATGGCTACATGACAGCCTCTCTGTCAGATTTCACAAGAAGGAGATTTTGCAGCTCTCAAAATGCTTGGGGTCAAATCTGAGACTGTTTGCATGTGAGGCAGGACAGTGTTTCTCAACCTCGGCCCCTTGAAGATGTGCGGACTTCAACTCCCAGAATTCCCCAGCCAGCATTGCTGGCTAGGGAATTCTGGGAGTTGAAGTCCTCACATCTTGAGGTGGCCGAGGTTGAGAAACACTGATCTAAGCAAAGCAATGAAAATGCACATATATCGATCTTTCTTAGGCATATTTTTGTCTTCCGATCTAGCTAATGGATTCTGAAGACAGCTAGTCCTTGATTTACGACAGTTTGACGTTACAGTGCTGCTGAAAAAAGTGACTTATAACCCATCGTAGAAGTGACAACCAACCAGCCATCCTTGTGATCACGTGATTGAGAATCAGACGCTTGGCAACCAGCTCGCATTCACAACGGTTGCCGGATCCTGTGATTACGGGATTGCAATTTGCAATTTTCCCAGCCCGCAAAATCAACAGGGAAAGTTATAAATCATGATAACAGCAATAGCATTGTAAGTTTATATACTGCCCCACCGTGCTTTACAGCATGTTCAAGCATTACTGGAATATTGCCTCCAACAATCCTGGGTCCTCATTTTACCGACCTCGGAAAGGTGGAAGGCTGAGTCAACCTGGAGCCCCGTCAGGATCGAACTCCAGGCTGTGGTCAGAGTTTGCCTGCAGTTCTGCAGTTTAACCACTGAGCCACCAGGGCTTAATTGTGATAATGTTAACAGCCACAGTAACTCAATTAACGACTGTGGCAAAACAAGTCATAAAATTGGGTGTAGTCACATTATGCCTCACTTAATGACTGCGCTACTTAATGATGACTTTTCCAGTCCCAATACGGGCTGTAAGTCAAGGAATTCCTACATACAAGCTACTAGAAATGAGAGGTGTTGAAAGCTCTTCCAAATATCTTTCGGTCTGTATTCTAATTACTTTCAAGAGAAACAGCTGTACATTCTTGGTCTGATTCCAATCAACTCTGTGCAATCTACAGCGTAAGAACAACATATAATTCAAAATGCACAACACAGTAGCAAGATAGCAAACCTGGCGAACACGACAAACACCTACAAGGACACCTACAGGGAATTCTCTAATAAGGACTGTAATGGAGCCTGCCCATCACGGTTTTAAGTCATGAAGGTTGCAAGTCTGTCCCGATTTTACAATCTTCTTGTAGCAATCATTAAACAACCGTCACGGTTATGTAACTACCATGGTTGTTAAGTGACTACTGTGGTCATCAAGCAAATGCTGTGGTCATTATTACTACATTCGTATTGGAAGCACCTTACTAAGGTGCTTTTGGGTCGAAAGGATTAGCCAGATATCACCATTGCCCAGAGCAGGGGTAGACAACCTTGGCTCTTTTATGACTCGTGGACTTCAACTCCCAGAATTCCTGAGCCAGCATGGCTGGCTCAGGAATTCTGGGAGTTGAAGTCCACGAGTCATAAAAGAGCCAAGGTTGCCTACTCCTGGGCTATGCTAATACCGATAGCGAGGAGAGGAAAGAAGGACTCTTACTTCATAGGAGGAACTTCATCTATCCGATTGCCGAGCTGGGACTCATGAGATTTGCTCCTGGTGAGGGTTGGGAAGTTGGGCAGCAGCTGGAAAACCTTTCGGCTGGGTGGAGGTGGAGTCCGTGGTGGCTTCCCTCTCTTGAGCTGGGGCGTGGTCGGTGGGGTAATGGCAGTACTGTGAGGAGTTCTGAGGTTCCGCCGCCCACAGTGAGTGGGGAAAGCAAAGGATTCCAACAGGTTATCGGCAAAGGTAGGGGCACCTTGACTCGTAGGTAAGTTGTCTGAAGAGGGGATGTTGGAGACGGAGACAGAACGGGACTGTGGGCCGTTGCCTTTCAAATGGGAAAGGTTGCCTTGTATCCACGTGAGCCCTGGAGGGCAGGGAGAAAGTTCAGAAGGGGGCATCAAACTGGTTTCCCGGCAAACGTCAGGTGGATTCCACACCAGATGGTCTTTGTGCTCTCCACCTGCGTGGAGATATGAAGGCACTGTTCAAAGAAAGCCATACATGAAACAATGAGGCGCACAATGAGGGGACACGACAGACTAAGACAAGCGTTCCTGAACCTTGGTGACTTCAAGATGTGCAGACCAGCATGCTTGTGTGGAGAAGCATTGTGTGGGCATGCTTTCTGGGGAGTTGAGGTCCATGCATTTTGTAGTTGTCATGGTTGACAAAATGAGTGGACCACGCATGAAGGGTTAGTACACGGAAAAGTATAAAGTAGGACTGGAGGCTAAAGCATATAAGGAACAGCTGCTGGAATTGGGTATGTCTAGTCTAATGAAGACAAGGACGAGGGGGGACATGATAGCAGAGTTCCAGTATCTCAGGGGCTGCCACAAAGAAGAGGGAGTCAAGCTATTCTCCAAAGCACCTGAAGGCAGGACAAGAAGCAATGGATGGAAACTAACCAAAGAGAGAAGCAACCTAGAACCAAGGAGAAACTTCCTGACAGTTAGAACAATTAACTAGTGGAACAACCAGCCTCCAGAAGCGGTGAATGCTCCAACACTGGAAGTTTTAAAGAAGAGACTGGACATCCATTTGTCCAAAATGGTATAGGGTTTCCTGCCTGAACAGGGGGTTGGACTAGATGACCTCCAAGGTCCCTTCCAACTTTACTATTATTATTAGTAGTAGTAGTATTTACAAAGACTTAGTAAGACCACACTCAGAATATTGCATCCAGTTTTGGTCACCACAATACAAAAAAGACGTTGAGACTCTAGAAAGAATGCAGAGAAGAGAAGCAAAGATGATTAGGGGTTTGGAGGCTGAAACATACGAAGAATGATTGCGGGAATTGGGTATGTCTAGTTTAATGAAAAGAAAGATTAGGGGTGACATGATGGCAGTGTTCCAATATCTAAGGGCCTGCCACAAAGAAGACACAGTTAGCCTGTTCTCCAAAGCACCTGAAGGCAGGACAAGAAGCAACGGATGAAAACAAATCAAAGAGAGAACCAACCTAGAACTAAGAAGAAATTTCCTGACAGTGAGAACAATTAATCAATGGAATGGCTTGCCTCCAGAAGTCATGGGTGCTCCATGACTGCAGGTTTTTAAGAAGAGATTGGACAACCATTTGTCTGAAATGGTATAGAGTTTCCTGCTTGAGCAGGGTTGGACTAGAAGACTGCCAAGGTCCCTTCCAACTCTGATATTCTCTTATTGAAAAACACTGGACTGAGAAGATGGATTATTGTTATTTTTTGGCTGGCAACTAAAATTTCAAGCTAGTACCTACCTGCCTTGCTACAGTTCCATGCTCTACCCTATAGTGCAGGGGTCTTCAAACCTGGCCCTTTTATGACTTGTGGACTTCAACTCTCAGAATTCCTCAGCCAGGCACATTCTGGGAGTTGAAGTCCAAGAATCAAGATCACGTGAAGTATTAATACCACTTTACAATGCCTTGGTAAGGCCACACTTGGAATACTGCATCCAGTTTTGGTCACCACGATGAAAAAAATATGTTGAGACTCTAGAAAGAGTGCAGAGAAGAGCAACAAAGATGATTAGGGGACTGGAGGCTAAAGCATATAAGGACCGGTTGCTGGAATTGGGTATGTCTAGTTTAATGAAGAGAAGGACGAGGGGGGACATGATAGCAGTGTTCCAATATCTCAGGGGCTGCCACAAAGAAGAGGGGATCAAGCTATTCTCCAAAGCACCTGAAGGCAGGACAAGAAGCAACGGATGGAAGCTAACCAAAGAGAGAAGCAACCTAGAACTAAGGAGAAACTTCCTGACAGTTAGAACAATTAACCAGTGGAACAACCTGCCTCCAGAAGCGGTGGATGCGTCAACACTGGAAGTTTTTAAGAAGAAACTGGACAGCCATTTGTCCGAAATGGTAATGGTATAACCCCCTGAGCAGGGGGTTGGACTAGATGACCTCCAAGATCCCTTCCAACTTTATCATTATTATTATTATTATTAAGTCATAAAAGGGCCAAGTTTGAAGACCCCCTGCTTTAGTGTCTCTTGTATAGAGACAAGTGAGTCCCTGATTCAAATGCATAATGGGTGTGAGGATAAAGAACACAGGAGTAAAAGTTGCAGCCTACACAACAGTCAGAGAAGAGATAGCTCACAGTAGGAGCAGGGTGGAAACAGCGCCTCAGAAGGGAACACCCTCGTTCTCTGGAAAGGAGGCACAAGAAATATTTTCAGACTTGCACGATTCTGTTACCATAACCCACTAGAGTTCATACTAATGGTTTCAATAGAAGAGAGTATCTGTAGCTCAGGGTTGAATTTTGAAATCCTTGATGCTCTCTGAGCTCGGCTGTTTGCTTGCAGACGTTACCTGTCTAGGCAACACCCTAATAGTTACTTAATAATACTTACTTAATAATACCCTAACTGGGTAATATCCTAACCAAGAAACTACCAAGATGAACAATCAAGTAAAAAACAATATCTTAATTGAGGAATTACCAAGGAGAAAATCCCCACTTGCAGGACAAGCAACGGTATATAAACAGGGAACAAGCTCCACTCTTTGATGGTGTTAGCTAGTTGGGTTATGAAACGTCTGCAAGCAAACAAACCAAGCTAGGAGAGCACCAAGGACGCCACAGACACAAACAGGACTGCTTTGTAAATCAGTAAAATGACTTCCTGTTTCAATTCCCCCCTTAAAATGTTGCCCCCATTTCAAGTAGGCATGGCTGGGGAATTCTGGAAGTTGAAGCCCAAACATCTTAAAGTCACCAAAGTTGAGAAACCCTGCCTTAATGCACACCACGATAGCTGAAGAAGGCATGAATAAAGTCTTAAAAACAGCAGTGGGGAATCTTTTGTCGTTTTGCCCAGAATCATATCCTTGGGGCGGTGAGGGGGGAGAATAGTCCAGCTAGGGCTGCATGGGGATTGTGGGAGATTCTGAACCCAAAGCAGGCAGCCCTCCATAAAGTAGGGGAATAGGAAACCCAAAATTAAAAAAAAAACATTCAATTTCACTTCCCTTGAATTTAAATTAAATGTGGTTAACCGGACTATTTTTTTCCAATCAATTTTAATACATTCTACTTCTTCCAGGTGACATACTTTGATATGGTATCAGCTTTTGGAATTTGGGAGGTTGCTCCCAAGGCTTTCATGAGCTACCTTGAAACCCTCCCTCCCTCCCTTCCTGTGGTTCAGCCCACCTTAACTCTTCCAGCCACACCTTCCTAAAGTCTAACAAAAACCCCACCCACCCCAAAAAACCCCAGAATAAAGAGATGGAAGGGACCTTGGAGGACTTCTAGTCCAGTTCAGGCAGAAAATCCTGTACCCTTTCAGACAAATGGTTGTCCAATCTCTTCTTAAAAATCTCCAGTGTTGGAGCACCCACCACTTCTGGAGGCAAGCCGGCAAGCCGCAACTCCTCCCCCAGCCCATTTTTCACACTCCCTTCTTCTCTTTGCCGGAGCCCCCATCTCCCTGTGTCTTCCTTCCCAATTCCCCTTCTTCTCCTGTGTCTCTTCCTTCCCAATTCCCCTTCTCTTCTCCTCCCGCCTTGAAAAATCCCCATTGTCCCCAGAAGCCTTTGTTTACCCATCCGTGTTGCTTTCCTCAAGCAGGTGAGGGCTCCGTTCAGCCGTGAACATTCCTCCATGCTGGCCCCGTATCTCTTCATCGTGTCTTTGACTTTGGAGTCGTTCATTTCCAAGAAGGCATCGAGAGTCAGGTCCTCTGGAATCCTCTGCAGAAAAGAAGGGTGGGGTTGGGGAGATGATTTCAGAAGAGGGGTCGGCTTCCTTCTCCCCCGCCCTGCAGGAAAGTTTTCAGAGATTAAGTTGAGGGTTGCTCTCCCACAGTATTTGGGGACTGGATGAGTCACCCTTTGTGGATAGGCGATGATGAAGGGTCAAAACAGAGACCTCTCTACACAATGCATTCAAAGCATGCAGCAGCTGCTTTGGCTCGTAATCCTTCCTGCATTTCTCTCTCTTTCTCTCTCTCTCTCTCTCTTTAAAACAGGAATAAAGGAAGGAGGCACGGCTTTTACTGCTGCTCAAGGGCCCAGTCACTTCGGCTTTCGGGCAATGACGAAGCAGAAGCGGGAAAGGCTGGCCCAGGTTCATGCACCATCAACCCTACGCTCTCCCCTACAAGCAAAAGAGCGACATTGTGCGCTGACCTTTGCCGGAATCGCAACGTTGCCAAAACTTTCCTCCCAGCATCGCAAATAGCTAGATGAGCCTGTTACAGCCAGCTTGCAGGAGCACATGCCAAATGCTTTAAAGAGGCTTGGGGCATGTCTGGCTGGATGGTATGGGTGTTGTGCTCCAACGCAGCTGGAAGAAACAAAATTAGGGGAAGCAGACTTTAATCAGCCCAATAAAGCTGGGGTGGTGGGGGGAGAGAACTTTCAATAATCTAAGACTGAAGCTGAGCTAGGGGTTGGTTTCCACCCTCCAGAAATAATAATAATTGGAATGTCTACAGGAAATACTATTTGCCTGCAGGCAAATACTGGGAGAGACCACGAAATAGGCAAAGTGGTAGAAAATAAAGAAGCTTAAATGCTTGGCAACTTTAGAATTCAAACACACCTGCCACACAACACCCCAGAGTTAACAATTGTCGATAAGATTAAAAAAAAAAAAATCTGGACAGTGGATATGGTAATACCTGAAGACATCAGAAAGATAGTTAACAATTCTAATAGGTGTCTTGGATGCAAATTCCAAAACTTCTGCAGCACCACTTGAATTACATCTGTACTGACAAAATCACCGTCAATCAACTGCAAAAGGCAGCTTTACTCGGAACAGCTTACATCCTGTGACAATATCTTAAAACCATAAAACATCAACATCTGCCTATCCTGGGTCCTTTGGAAGGACTTCTATAGGTAGACAAAAATGCCATATCCTCCAAACATCTGGCTTTGTAACAAACCATAATTATAGGGTAATCTACAGTTAGATTCAGTCAAAAACTGGGGGAAATCATTCAAGTCCTAACCAAGGACCTAAGAATTATTGGTAGCATCTGAGGATAAAGAATAGTTCCAAGCAAGTTGCTATTCTTTTTTTAAAAAATAGGGCATTCAGGTCTAACACATTTAAAGTGTCCAAACATCAAGAGAGTTCTATAGATATTGCTCTAAGAATTCCAGTCATGATTGGTATAACAGCAAATTTCTTTTTCTGTCAGCATTCAACTTTGATCTGCAAATTGTGATATTTTGTAATTTTTTTTCAGATTGCTTTTCCTAAGTCCCAGCATCACTCAGTATAGCAACAACAGTGAATCAAACTTTCTTGTTTTCAAAGACTGTTATATCAGACATGTTAAGAAAATTATTATTCATAATTATTATCACTTACATAGAATCTGACTCCCAACAACTCTAATGCTAGAGGCCAACATGAAAACTAAAATTGATTTATATGAAACTGGCTTTTAAACATAATTCAGTTCAATGCATTAATAAGATTACTCTTCAAAAGCAGGCAATTAGTATTATTTAATAGTCTCTCCTTCGGCCCACTAATAATTACAATTTCATAAGGGCTCTGGGAAGTCTTGAGGGGCTTCTGTGCACATGCACGTACGCACGCATGCATGCACACACCCACACCCGCACACACCAGCTTCAGTTGTACATCTTAGCAATAAATGTCTATGGAGATTCCCATCATCCAGATCATGGTTGTCCCAAAGGTGCTTTTTCAAAAGGCAACTGGACTTTGTTTTTCCTTGAAGACATTTTGCTTCTTATCCAAGAAGCTTCTTCAGTTCTACAGAACCAAAGTGCTCCAGAACTGAAGAAGCTTCTTGGATGAGGAACAAAATGCCCTCTGAAAAAAGCATCTTTGGGACAATCTTAGCTCCAAGTTATTATTATTCCCTCCAATTTGAGAACCAATTGGTGAGAGGGGGAGAAAGTCTTCCCACAGGCCACCGACCCAACCAACTAGTAAGTCCAAAGTACAGATGAGATTCAAACTGAGAGCATCCAGAGCCGTCTCACAAGGACCGAGCTGCATCAGCTGTCAAAATACAGGCTTTGCCTTAATACATAAAAGCGCATGGCGGGAGTCTAGAAGGGAACAGGGCCGTGTGCAGCCCAAAAGCATGCCAGGGAGGGTTAGATAACTGAAAGCAGGCCGCGATCCAAGTCACGAAGCCAAGGAGCTGCAGCGTGTGCTAGAAATCTGTTCTAACACCAGATGATGCAAGAACATGGCTTAATGTGTACTGTACTTTCACAAAACAACAGCTTTTTTGCTTCCAGAAGGGGTGGGTTCCCCACTCCCCTTCCCCTCTTCCCCTGAACAAATAACAAAAAACAAAGAAAGAAACAAAGAAAGAAAGAAAGAAAGAAAGAAAGAAAGAAAGAAAGAAAGAAAGAAAGCCAGAAGGCATAGAACTGGAATTACCCACCCTGAGCCACATCAATGAGCTAAAGCAGTGTTTCTCAACAACTTTTAAGATTCGTGGACTTCAACTCCCAGAATTCCCAACCAGCATGCTCGGTTGAGAAACATTGACTTATAGGCTGGAAGGATAATGATGATGAGTAACAGAATAGAATAACAGAATAACAGAGTTGGAAGGGACCTCGGAGGTCTTCTAGTCCAACCCCCTGCTCAAGAAGGAGACCCTATACCAGGGGTAGGCAACCTTGGCTCTTTTATGACTCATGGACTTCAACTCCCAGAATTCCTGAGCCAGCATGGCTCAGCTTGGAAACTCTCCATTTCTCCTCAGCATGGCTGGCTCAGGAATTCTGGGAGTTGAAGTCCACGAGTCATAAAAGAGCCAAGGTTGCCTATCCCTGCCCTATACCATTTCAGACAACAAGCGTTGTCCAATCTCGTCTTAAAAACCTCCAGTGTTGGAGCACTCACAACTTCTGGAGGCAAGTCGTTCCAGTGAAGGTTGACTAAAGCGCCAAGTGCCCGAAATGCAGTCATGCAACCAGAGGACCATTAGAATTTTGGAACCAGGTCGCAAATACTTTTTTTGGGGGGGTGGTGGTTCTGTTGCAATTTTCACTGGCTGTGACAGACTCCCCCCCCCCAAAAAAAATAGTATTTACAACCTGGTTCCAAAGTCCTAATGGTTACCTGGTCATATGACTGCATTTTGGGCTCTTGGCATTTACAGCTGTTTGCAGCATCCTGCAATCCCATGACTTCGATTTATGACGCTTTTATCAAAAACCCTGTTTAGTTCTGGGTTTTGACAAAAACACACCGCAGCGAACAATGGGTTAATGGTTGACCGTGCTAAAACACTGCGGATTCATTTAACAACCATGGTGTTGTTAATGACCACCATAAAAATAGTAATCAAATCAGTCACGTGATGAACCACTTTATTACTACCCTCGTGACTTACGATTATGATCAGCTCCATTATGGTCATAAGTTGAGGACTACCATACAGTAGTATGAAGTCAGGAAAAAAAACATAACTCAGGTGATCCCTCATCAAGCTTTGCATATTTTGCAAATGTAGGTAATTATCTGTATCTTGGCTGGTTAGTTTAATGCTCAGTGTAGGGCAATCCCTGAAAATGGGTTACTTCAGAACTCTGATTAAGTATGTTGCTTGGAAGACAACAGACACACCCCATTATTTGAGTAAGGCATTGACTATCCTGGATAATTCAGAATAAGAGCTGGAAGGGACCTTGGAGGTCTTCTAGTCCAGCCCCCTGCTCAAGCAGGAGACCATATGCCATTCCAGACAAGTGGCTGTCCACTCTCTTCTTAAAAGCCTCCAGTGATGGAGCTCCCACAACTTCTGAAGGTAAGCCTTTCCACTGGTTAATTGTTCTCATTGTTAGGAAGTTTCTCCTTAATTCCAGGTTGCTCCTCTCCTTGTTTCCATCCATTGTTTTCTTGTCCTGTGCTTTGGAAAATAAGTTGACCTCCTCTTCTTATGGCAACCCCTCAAATACTGGAATACTGCGTTCATACCACCCCTAATCCTGTAGAATAGAGCGGCACTGTCTTCCCACCAAACCAGGAGATGGATTTTCCCTTCTTGTCAACCTGATTCAATCGTGTGTAAGATATCAAGATCATGTGAAGTATCAATACCACTTTACAATGCCTTGGTAAGGCCACACTTGGAATACTGCATCCAGATTTGGTCACCACGATGTAAAAAAGATGCTGAGACTCTAGAAAGAGTACAGAGAAGAGCAACAAAGATGATCAGGGGACTGGAGGATAAAACATATAAGGAACGGTTGCTGGAATTGGGTATGTCTAGTTTAATGAAGAGAAGGACGAGGGGGGACATGATAGCAGTGTTCCAACATCTCAGGGGCTGCCACAAAGAAGAGGGAGTCAAGCTATTCTCCAAAGTGCCTGAAGGCAGGACAAGAAGCAACGGATGGAAACTAATCAAAGAGAGAAGCAATTTAGAACTAAGGAGAAACTTCCTGACAGTTAGAACAATTAACCAGTGGAACAACCTGCCTCCAGAAGCGGTGAATGCTCCAATACTGGAAGTTTTTAAGAAGAGACTGGATAGCCGTTTATCCGAAATGGTATAGGGTTTCCTGCCTGAGCAGGGACTAGATGACCTCCAAGGTCTCTTCCACCACCACCACCACCACCACCACCACCACCACCACCACCACCACCACCATCATCATCATCATCATCATCATCATCATCATCATCATCATCATCATTATTATTATTATTATTATTATTATTATTATTATTATTA